GTGTAGTACTCTTCACTTCATTTTCTCTCTCTCTCTCTCTTGCATGCCTCAAAATCAGCGAAGCAGTGAGCTTCTTCTGAAATACTACTACTTCTCTCTCTCTCTCTAAAATAAATGTACCACACTTCTACTATACCACACTGTATCTACCCACAGAATTGCTTTGGTTTTGTACTTTTCCCATTTTTGATCAATGGTTCACTGCAAAACGGTGGCAATTGTTTTTTCTTATTTTCTTATACTAGTTTACTTATTTACATTTTTTAATATGTTTCTTATGTCACGCATTAAAGAATCTCATATAAATGGTAGTAGGACTGAATTAATAATACTAATTAATTCATGGATAAGGTGAAGAGTTATTATCATAATTAAGCACTTAATGAATGAGTTAACCGATTATTACCACAATTCTTTCTACATTTTGTCAACAACAAAAGATTATGTGTCCATGTTAGTCGGTGGTTTAGACCATAAATATCAAAATATCAAATATTTAATTTTCATAAGTAATATTTGTTGGGAATAAGTGTTAAACTCTTGGTTATTTATGGTGTGTGGATAATCCTTATCCTTTATGTTACAATAACATTATTTCATAATTAATGCTGTTTCTGAGTGGTACTTTTTGAGAGTAATAAGTGTGATATTATAGTCTATATTTTTAAGTGTGAGATTAGGCATTGTTGTTTAGGTGAGAGAGTAATGAATGATTAACCATTTGGTGAAGTGAATATTGGATAGTAGTGTGTGTAAGGCTTTTGAGAGTGATCACAAAACGACAAAATAGAGATGTGTGATGATTGTGTTAAAACTGAGAATGGGCCATGGTCATGTTGAGTTGACTGAGTTAGGCACGCCGAGATGCTCCCTAATACATCCACCCACTGCTCCATGGGACCTCAAATAATAATATACACAAACTTTTTAGTGTGTCACAAGATAATAACATTCTATTAATAAAATAAAATTAACTAAATTTATATAAAATAAACATTCTATTAATCTAATTAAAATTGAGTTGAATGGTTCAAACTTCTGTCACTATTTTAATATTATAACTATCCAAAAAGACTATAGAATTATAAGTTGAAATTTTATTTTCTCATCATATTTGTTTGTCATTACTGTTTATTTTCAATATTACCATGTACATTTTATGCATGCATACTCTAAATGGAAAAACATAATAGACAACGAATTAAATATCACAATTGTAACGTGTATTTTTAATAATAATTGGAGATGAGTATTATAATTTCTGATTGTATATATCAAATATTTATACATTATATTAAAGTTAAAAAGTCATTTATATATATATATATATGGATGGATACTCACTACTCGTGAAAAATTACGAGTATAAAATAAATATAGTTTTCATTACATATTAGTATATTGATAAATAATAATCTCATACTATATTTAAAGAATCTGTTTGAAATATGGTAAAAATAATTTATTTATTTTTATTTCTAAACCACTATCATCCTCATCCATCAAAATAGAAAAACATTTGTGGATTGTCAAAATAGATTTCTGATTGTATATATCACATATTTATACATTCATTTTTAATATATAAATATTAAAGTTAAAAAGTCATATATATATATATATATATATATATATATATATATATATATATATATATATATATATATATATATATATATATATATATATATATATACACACTCGCGAATAGGTAGGAGTATAGAATAAATATAGTTTTTATTACATATTAATATATTGATAAATGATAACCCCATACTATATTTAAAGAATTCTTTTGAAATATGATAAAAGTATTTTATTTTTTTCTTTCTAAACCACAATCATCCTCCTCCATCAAAATAGAAAAATATTTGTGGATTGTATAAGAGGTGGGCTACTTAATTTTATTTTAATCATATGTTAAAGTGGGTCAAAATATAATACTAGGAAATTAGTAATAATTAATAGGGATATATTTAATTACCCAAAAAATATTCTTAAAAAAAGAGAGTGAAAGAGTTGAAATTACTCTTATATATTTTTATAGTTAATTAGAAAAGTATATAATGATTAAAATTTAAACTTAAATTATTTTCTAAACCAATCCTAACAAATGACATACATATGCTCTTTTTTTTTGACATCACAAATTATTTTAGTGAACGTTAAGGTGCTTTGTGTCAATTATTGTTGTCGTTTTCTGTGACTCAGCTTTTCATGATTTTAATACCTAGAACTAAGAAAGGCGAGTAAACACAGATCTGGCACGTGTATCTTCATCGCAATCTCCATATAATCCAACGGTCCTCATTCGAAGATTCTTTAACAATGATTTATTTCCTTTTTCTCTATACTGTGTTTTTATTTTTTTGTGGTGCTTTTTATGGAATTCCGGATCCAGTGCCCAATTCACGTGTTGCAATGTGAGTGGTGTATTGTTTGAACTTGTGAATTCTTTTCACTTCCCTTTTTCCTTTTCGGTTCTTTATTAACTAGTACTACTCAATTACTTCACTTTCTCTTCTCATGCTTTTTCACTTCTTCAATATTATTACATTTACGGTATACCATTATTACCCTTTCACATTTTCTTTTATTTTTGTTAATCGGTTATTGTCACATTACGTTAGTTATAAGTTTCGAGCTAGTAGTCAAATGTTATTAGGTTTTTGCTTGAACAATATTTTAATGGCTAAAAACAATAACATTGCACAATAGTACTTACTATTTAGACTGAGATTGAGAATAACATAGAGTATAGAAAATGGTTGGAAAGTTGACTATTTGTCCCCAAAGAAATTGTCAAATTATGTTGTAGGAAAATGATATTAGAGTTGTTGGTTTAAAAACGTTTAAATTTATAGTTATTATATTATTACTAATTATCTGCCTCAATACAATGCTCCACTCTGGATGTAACATTTTAAATCCATAATCGACGTATTTAAATGGCTCTAAGTGTAGCTTTAAAAAAAGAAATGCCCTCTAATTCTATCCAAAGGCCTTTTTGGAATGTAGCTGGTGGGGTATGTGCGGAAAGTATTGTTGATCCTAAGAAAAATGCAAACACTGTACGATTTTACTGTAACAGCTATTTAAAAACCTAGCTAGTTTACCCATTCAAAGCACCTATCCCTACGTCTCTATACTTCTCATGTTTCCAAAATTTCATCACAATGACAACATACTACTACTACTAATATTCAGACCATAGTAAATGTAATAGATGGGAAAAAAATGTATGTATATGACTACGTAATAATTTTATATATTAATTATTTATTTTTAATTATTATTAATTATTCAAAAAAGTAATCTAAAAAATAATACATGTATACTGATTATATATAAATCTTTAATTACATTAACAATACATACATATTATGCTAAAATATATGTATTAAGAATGATATTTTTAAACTGTTAATACATTATTTATCATTTATATTTAATTATTATTGTGTCAATTAAATATAAATAATAAAATGTGAGCTTGGAGATATATTTTCCTATTATGAACAACTCCCTATGTTTTTACCTCAATGACAAGTTTATGCATTTGTTTCTTGTGACTAGCGATAAGCCACGACATCCTAATTAATTGTGATTCTACGCATCTTTAAAGAAGGACCAATAATATAATTTAACACATAAGATTAGTCTAATCTTAATTTTGAATGCGTAGAACATTACTTGTAAAATACTTTATTATTTATGTACACGTAAAAATGGAATCAAATGATAGCATATTGTATTAATATACTATTATTCTTTCCAAGTAGAGTATTTTCATTAACCAACAGGAGTAGGTTTACTTTGTCAACATCCTACTCATAATAATTGCATCATTATATTTAAATTTGTTTTTAGGGATTCTTCATTGATAATCACTCTATAATCTCAGTACCCCACTAAATATAAAGTGTTGTTTATTAAAGTGACTTTAATTAAAGTATATAAAGAGATTCTTCTCTACCTCCTTATCCTATAATTACGAAAGTTATTTCGTTAGTTTCAAACTAATCCCTGTTGAAGCAATATAATAGAACATTATTAATGTAATTGAAGGAAATAATTAATGAATTGTTGCTTGTTGCTGCAGTTTCTATACTGACTAGAATAATATTTATTCTATGAATCTCAATTAAACAAACATAAACTTGTTTGACATTAACCAGACACATGAAAAGGACAATATATAAATATATTCTATTAGCAACCACTTCATAATTAAATAAAGGGAAAATGATTTTTTGTCGTCATCATCTTCTCTAATATATATTATTATATTGGTGCTATCATTTTTTATCTAAGGTCTCTGTTTGTGATGCTTCCTATGTTCCCAAATACCAAAAAATTCTTGTTAAGGGATTACGAAATGGGGTATTATTTTAAGCCTTTTGTATGGTTTCGTGAACACTACCATCGTTTTAGTAAGAATACACGTGAACATGAAAGCATAAGCCATAGTCTTGGCTTTTAACTATAGTTTAATAGATTTTATTCTGAAATGATTAGATTTGTGTGACAGAAATGTAATTTTCTTTTTTAATATTCAAATCTCGAATTATTAATCAAATATGAACCGAAAGTAGAAGACAGAATTTCTGACACAACATATACCATGTATATACGTGGTAGAAGATTAGAAGGCAGAACAAACGTACTACATTGACAGAAAAAGGTAAAGGAAGTAATCTACAAAAGCATACAACACAATAAAGTAGCCATTCAAGAGTCGTGTCTCTTTCAAAATATATTGTTTCAGATATATATCACAAAATTTCATGAAATACTTGAACCAAATTACTAATTACTCAAATTCTTTATAAATACTTTAGTACCAATTACATTACCTGAATATTCAAATTTGTTATTATTCTTTACATATGCATATGCTGCATTTATACTATTTCAAAATATAAAATATGTTAATATGTAATAAAACACATTGACACAAGATTTTTGCGACCTAAAATTAAATGTAGCTTTTTATTTTGTTTTGTCCTCACAGTAAGAAGTATTGGGCCGAGAGAGTGCTCAAAAATAGCCCAAGAAAGGGTATAAAGGTAAAAAGATTTTAATTAGTAAGTATAAATACTTTGTTCGATAGATTCAAATACAGAATGCGCGCGTTGATTGTTATTTTCCTCAGAAGTTTCGGAATTCGCATCAATGGCGACTTCAGAATCGGTACCTCCAGAACCCGATAATCACCTTACCTCTCTCGTTTACGGTGAGTGTTTCCTTCTAATTCTAATTATCATAATAATTCCTCTGCATTTTGTATTCGTCAAGTAAAGTTTTAATTCGTTATAATCGATGCAATTATTAAACTTAATTGTTTATTCAAACTACATGATATGCGACGCGACGCGATGCGATCTTCTACATCTAGATTTTAATTCGCATTGCTTGATTATTGCTTTGGATTCTGGTTGTTTCTGATAAAACCTTGCAGAAATATCAAATGAAGTCCAGGCGATTATGGAGAACATGCTTAAGATGATCACGTGAGTTCAGCTTAAGCGTAACCTATCTATTTTTCAGTTATAAGATAAATAATTACTGTTTTTTTAAGCTGATTCTTCTTGTTGTTTTGTATGTAATTTTACTCGTTTAAGTTAGATCCAGAGCCTATCAGTTTAAGAGTTTAGCAATATACTCCAAAAAATAATCCTAGTATTAAGTAAAGAAAGTAACAAAAAATTAAATGAAAAAGTTAATGCATCTAATGTCTTGTAAATATCATTTCTATGTTATGCAACTAGAGAATTTTTAGAAGGATTGAGTAGGGAATTTATAATTATTTATCTTTTAAAATCATGGTTTTATATTATGATTGCATTTACGATTATGTACAATTGTGAGAAAATGCAGCTATATGATCGTGATGTGGTTGTGAAGACTAGCACACCCACAATATTGCTGCCACAATCACAACTTCAATTTAAAACCTAAAACATTTCTCATGAAGCATGTAATGGCTATTTGTTTCCATTTGCAGTGAGGTTAATCAAAATTCTGCTGTAATTGAGGAAGAGATTGAGAAATGTAAAGGTTTTACTGCGGAGAGGAAAAAAGCCTTAGATGAAGAGAAAGATCACTTTCAAAAAGCTGCATATGCTGTCCTTGATTTGCTTAACAGAGATTAATAATCTCTTACTGACTCCAAGGTATCATCATTCCTGAACATATGTAAATCAGCAGTTCTTAATTTGATCATTAGAAGATATATAACTCATCGTTCTCTCTTAAGACGCCCAATTCTTCTACTTCTGACCCATCACCCATAAGAATCTTGCTTCCTCTTTCTCCAAACTTCTTCTCTGCGTAGCATACACAAAACTCAACTCAGGCATCTAGTTATTACCTCAATGTTCAATTCTATCAATCCAAGAGTAAAATCATAATATTAATTATGGCCAATACAATTTCCACAGTAGAACCTAATCCTTGTTAGCCAACTTTGATCTGCACGATGAAGTGAATTCGTTTTTTGGTAATCTGTTAAAGGCTTTGAACTAATTATTTTTTATAAATAAAAGCTTTAGGTCCTTGGACAAATCTGACTAATGTTTTATTAATCCTTGTGTACGGAATGAGTTCAATGAAGGTGTTTTTCTTTTCCTTTTCTGTCTTAGACTGTATTGTAGTTAGTTTCTTTTTTCGTTTTTCTTTCTCTCTATATCATTCAATCATGAAACTACTCAGCATCTTTTGCAGACATGCAAGCATTTGGAATGTAGTCATACCTGCTACTTTGAAAAGATCTTCTATAGAATCTGGGAGAAGTATGAGTTTTTGTGCTGTTCTGTTTCCCATTTTGTTTTCATTGGGATGATACCCATGGATTTTAACCCTAACGGGAGCTGGGCTTGACAGAGGATTGGAATTTCCGGTTATTCCTGCAATTATTAGCATCAGTTTATGCTGTTTAGGTAAGTAGGCAGAGAATGTCATTTATCTAAGAAAATATCCATGGATAAATTTGGCAAATTCCATTGCCTTAACAAATTTGGAGACAGTTATTAAGCAAATAAATTGAAGAAAGCAGCCTAGGCAACCTTGCCATATCAAAAGATTCCTGTCATGTAGAGGTCGGGCTGTCTGTCAAACTGAACTGGGATTGCAATGAAGCTGATTTTAATCCTTCTAAAACCAAGAATGTTGGGTTCAAGAAGTGCATGGCCCAGGCTGGTTTTGTGCTTGTTTACCAAATGCTATTAGAAGTTTAGAACTATCATAAATCATTTATATAATGTAAAGTGTAGTTGCATTTAGTTAAAATCTCTCACTCATGCACACATGTACAATCAATGTGTCTGGGGTTTGGTTATACAGAAGCCCCGAGCGTCTATTGGTTGATTTGGTTCTTGTCTTAATGCTTCTGCACAGTGTCTACCCACTATAGATTGCAGACTGTCAACATGTCTTATTGTTTTTACTAGACATAGGATTAAGGTTACCTTCTTTATATGGATCATCTTCATCCCGTGTGCCCTCATTTTGCGCTAGATGCTGCGAGAAGCAAACAATGATAATCATATATGTCATGATTCATATATGTGCATATGTGGCCGTTATTATAATATCTCTGCCATAAAAGTACTTTTTGGATGGATATTATACACGAATAGCGTGTCTCTAATAATACATGTATCTTCATAGTTCATACATTCAATTTTTCAAAAGAAGTGATTGTTCATGCATCATCATCAGGTGACCTTAGGTATTGGAAGGGAAGCGTTCTATTTTTAGTACCCCTTCCTTTTGTTGCCCTTCACTTATGTTCTTTCTCATTTTTTGCTAAACATGGTATAAAGCTGAAGGATATCCAAGATCTTTGGAACTTTAGAGCATGTTTCTGTACTTGTGGCTTTCATAATTTCCTCACACTAATATACATGAGTTGTCTAATGTTTTCGCTATGAGCATGCAATGCTTAATGACTTTGTTGCATCCTTTTCCTTTTGACTTTATACTATATTTGTGCATTAATAACAAAATTATGCTTCTCAAATAGATCAGTCCAAAGTTCTACTGGCTGAAATTCGAAGGTAAAAAATATTTACCTCGGGGTTCAGTTCGTCCAGCAATTCTTTTACATATGGTATTTCTTCTGGCAACATACCATTGAGATCCTTCATATACTGAGATTAGAAGAACAAACATTAAAATAAAAATATGCAAATGGGAATTGAGATACCAATATGAAGTTTGGATTAAGGGAATTCAGGTCCATTTATTAGTCATTATTTGTGTCCTTATATAAATGAAGTTTCAGGGAAAAATGTGGCTTCTTTGGATTCCTATTGCTCTCAGATTTGAAGTGTGTAAATTAAATAAAGTTCAAATAGAAGCAATCATGTCTGCGTGTATTCTATCTGTACGTATTTAAGAATCTCCAAACCTTAATAAAGTTGCTGATCATTGCCTTCCCATCGTCACTGAATGGCTGCACCATCTGCTTGAAATGTTGATGATTTACTCGTATGACCTGTGAGAGCCTCTTACATCTGATTGTAAAAGGTTGTGGAATATTAAACATCACACCTATTTCTCCTGCCAACCCTCCAGGTTCTAGTTTGAACAGAAACTGAAAAAAAATTGACTTCAGTCAAACAATGTCAGAATTGTGAGCTCGGAAATATAGATACTTCTTTTAGATCATTATTATTTCATTCTCTTCTTTAATATTCTAAATGTCTCGGTGCCTGATTTATATGTTTGATGATGATATTATCTGGACATAGTTGAAAGAGTTAAACTTAGTTTGATGTGTTTGCTTCAGCAGGTTTACCAGGAAATGCTTGGAGACAACAAAAAATCACTCTTCATTCTGTAAAGTAAACATCATCTTCCGAAGTGACTTCTATCTCAAGTTGATGCATTGTGGTGTCATACATTATGTGATACTTTCTTTGCCTACAATTCACAAGGTCCAATATCAAATAACCCGACTTCTAGATCTAAATGAATTACTGTTTTAGTTTTGTTTTTGTCGAAGAGAGGTTTGTTTTTTTGTTATCTTTATTTTCTCTTTAAAATGATTTCTTCCACATGATACTTTGTTATGGTTTAAATGTTAGTCCTTCCAACTCACTTATGTCTGGTGTTTGACCTATTACCATTTTACTTTCCTTTGAATGTTATTTTTACTATGCAAAAAATTATCCCGGGGATCCCATCTTACCTGTTCGGTTCCATTCTTGTATATCAACACATCCTGCGGTTAGAATAGTTCAGTTTTGCAGCTAACATGTTATAAGAGATAGTATTTGAGTAAGTTATAGATGTTATACCACTGATCCAGATACCAAAATGTAGAAATCTGTTGGCATCTCATTTTGCAAGATAATGTCAACCTTAGGTGGGTAGTATTCTGCTTTCATTTCGGACACCTGTGAGATTAAGTGTCATGATACCATCACCTATTAGTTGCTGTTGAGATGCTTAAACTCTATTCTATTACTACCTAGAAGAGGGGGGAAATGAAAAAGCTTTTACCAGCTGGGTGATAAAATCATCAGAGACTCCTTGAAATAAATATGCTTTTTCAACTATGTCGTGGAAAAGATGCTGAGCAATACTGGATCTAATTGCTTTAGGCAGGTCCTGTAGCACTTCTTCTTGCTGTAACTCTGCTGTCTTAAACTTCAATTGCAAATGTGCCAACATTTGCTCTTTCAAACCTTCCGGGAGTCTATTTTTGCTTGCATATTGTAATACTTTGTTGAAGCCATCCCTCTGTGAAGCCAGGAGGTGAAATATATTAGTTTTTGGTATATCCACCCAGATAAGTTTACCTCTAAACATGTAATGAGAGGGGTATATCTTCCTATATCTAGGTGTTTCTCAAATAACTTCCTGTCCAAGCTTGCCACGATTAAGAAAGCAAGCTGTTTACAGTTTCCTTAGAGTCAAATCCCATCTGATAATCTTTGTAGCAATGAAAATGCAAAAAGGGGAGAAATAAATACTAAACATAACTAGATGCACATCTCATTTGTCCCCCTTTTTTATGGCTGTACTTAAATGCGTATTTCTCTCTTAGGTTCTTCTGGAGAGGCATAAACAACCCAAGTCGGACATGGTAAATGACTTTATTTTAGATTTTTTCCCATGAGGCTTTAAAGCTTATTTATCTTCTCTTATAGATTAAACCTTTATGGGAAACCTCATTAAGAAGGGGGGGAATTACCATGGCAAAGGTTCGGACAGTGCTATGAACCACCAGATTTGTCATGTTTCCGATTATATATGCAGTGAGGCCGATGTTAAACAGCATATATAAAATATTGAAAACCTTCTCCGTTGTATTTACTGCGTGCAAATCTCCATAGCCAACAGTGGTAAGAGTTACAATAGACCAGTACATGGAATAGGTATAACCGTTCCAATTGCTCTTATGTTTAAAATCATGTACTTGCATCCCGATCCATGTATTTTCAGGTGTTTTGTGATGGAGTGCTAACCAAAAATACATGCAGCCTGCGAAGTGGATTGCAAATAGC